TGGCAGGCTTGCACCTGGCACGGGCACCGTAGCCAGCCCGTGCCCCTTTAAGGGCTTCGGGGCCGGGAGGGGGGCAGAAGAGTGGCCACCAGGGCAAGCTGGGAAGGGCTAGCCTCCCACTAGTTCGAATTAAGTGACTACACATCCCTTAATTCGAACTAGTTAATTTGAACTAGGCGTTAGTCCTTGTAGAATGAGGTTTACCTAGTTCGAATTAAGCGCTCCTCTAGTTCGAATTAAATTCGAACTAGCGGTTTGCCTGTGGAGCGCCTATCAAAGTTAATTCGAACTAACGGCTGTTAGTTCGAATTAACTTTATAGTGTAGACATACCCTCTATGTTTTGTAGTATCTACCAGACTTCTGAATTGAAGCTCCCCAGCTCATCTTTTGAAGTTGTTGTGCAGGTTTCCTTTGAGGATGAGGACTGATAGGTCTGCTGGAGCGTGATCACTTTGTGGAAAGTGCTCACCAGAAGGTGGTGTGGTGGTTTTTATCTTTTATCATTTTCCTGTGTGAGTTCATTTGATAGTAAAGGGTAGTGATTGTCTTGTTTAACTCACATAGTTTGGTCTATTGGGGTATGTTTAAACAGCAAATTATTTCAAAACAACAGCCGTTATTTAGATATAACTTGACCAGCGTCTACACAGCCAAACCGCTATTTTAAAATTAAATCGAAATAGCGGAGGGCTTATTTCTAAATTGGGAAACCTCATTCCACAAGGAATAGCACCAATTTCAAAATTGCTATTGCAGCCACACAAGGTAACTCATGACCTGATGCCCTGCCAGAACCGATTCTGGCCGGCTTTAAATGCGATTCATCATCCTATCAGTGTGGACGCACTATTTTGAAATAGCAAAATGCTATTTTGAAATGCATTTTTTGTCTAGACACGTTATTTCAAAATAACTGTTTTGAAATAAGGTATTTTGAAATAATGCTGTAGTGTAGACATACCCTTAGAGCCAGGGCCAGACTGAGGCATGGGCGAGCCGGGCAGCTGCCTGGGGCACCAACCAATGGGGAGCGCCTGATGACAGCTGTAAGGGGCGCACGGCGTCCTTTACAGCTGCTATCAGGCACCGCACGCCCGGCTCCCGCAGCGCCAGCCCTGTGGCACTGGCCAGCAATGCCCTTCCACCCACGGCCGCGGGGCCCTGCACGGCCCGGTGCGTGCGCCAGCAGCTCTGGCCGGACTGGGCTGGGCAGCGCATGCTCCATGCACCCCAGAGGCAGGCCCTAGGCTGTGTGCCAGTGGCCGTGGCCGGTCCGCGCATG